TCCTCTCCTCTTCTCCTCCTACTCCTCCGAAGTTCTTCTTCTTCTTCTTCTTCTTCGTCTTCTTCTTCTTCTTCTTCTTCTTCTTCTTCTTTATCAGAGTTGAGATAGAGGTAACTGCAGACATTGTTTGGACACGGCCTTCTGCCTTATTGGACACGACATTCAGATCGGACTTACACTCTACATTGGGATTGAACTGTGTGCGACATTCGGAGATCAGACTTGGGTTGGACTTGGCTACCTCTATGTCCCTCCTCCTTCTCTCTCGCATGTCTATGGATCTCTCCCCATGTGTGTGAGCGGAAGGGCAATCTTTCTGGTGTCTTGCCCTTCCGAAGTGTCTACCTTTCATGTTGTTGTCCACGTGTCCATTGATACTAGATCTTTCGCTGCACTGCTTCCCAGCCTATGATGATGATGATATGAATGTGTTGTTATTGATTTCCCGTTGTTTCACTCTTTGCGTCGCGCACATTGACACCTCGTGAATGTTGCACCTATGCTGCTGGTTGTTGCCACTTTCGTCATTGCTAGATCCTAGGCTTTCAGTGCATTTCACTTTCTGATATGCTACAGAGAGTAAGGGGGTCAGAGAATGTCTGACAGCGATTTTTGCACACCAAACTCAGCGTCAGTGTCCGTCTGACATTCTCTGACGCCCTCTCTCTCTCTCTCTCTCTCTCTCTCTCTCTCTCTCTCTCTCTCTCTCTCAACATGAGCATCCAAATGACCGAGAATTTTACGTCTTAAAAAAAATAATAATGGACCAAAAAAAATATATATATATATATATGGGGCTGTAGGGTTTGAAAATCCATACAACCCTATATTTTTTATCTTGGATTAAGAAGTGTTTGTTTTATTTTAAAAAAATAGAAAACGGAAAAACAAGTATTTTAATCAAAAGAAACGTAGTAGAATTTTTTTTTTTTCGTGTGTGTGTGTGTTTGTGTGTGCATGTGCGAGAGGGAAGGGCGTCCCCTTCCCCACCAATCAATCAATCAATCAATCAATCAAAAAAAAGAAAAAGTAAAACAAAATAAAGATGGGGTTTGACCCGCATGTGTGTGTGTGTGTGTGGGGGGGGGGGGGGGG